GAGAGAGGGGGGGGAGAGAGAGAGAGAGAGAAACAGAGAAACAGAGAGACAGAGAGACAGAGAGAGAGAGAATGTGAGGGGTATACAGACCGTATGTTCGCGCTGCACTGCTAAGAGCTTTTTGACATCTGAGAATAAGTAGTGTTATGCCACTTCTAAACCAGTACAGGTTTTCTCTCTTGTCTATTTTCTGAGAATTGATTTGATTATTTTGTTTACTTTTTTTTCTTTTTGTTTTGTTTGTTTTTCAAGAATCTATATACCGTTTTATTGTGCTATGTTGTTGTTGACAGCGTTGTTGTTATTATAAAAACATAATCTTAGTTTAATTGTTGTTTTTGTTAGGATGTGGTTATTATTATTATTATTTTTATTATTATTATTATTGTTATTATTATTATTATTATTACTATTCTTCTTCTTATTATTATTACTGTTGTTGTTGTTATTGTTGTTGTTGTTGTTATTATTATTTGTTATTATTATTATTGTTGTTGTCGTCATCATCATCATCATCATCGTCATCATCATCATCATCGTCATTCATATTATTCTATATATGAATTTTTTAATGTTCCATGCGGCGAAACGTTGAACGTATTATATAATATATGAAATACACCAAGGCTCAACCTTTTTTATTCCTTGCAGTTTACAATAATGATGATGATGATGATGATGATGATGATGATGATGATGATGATGATGATGATCATGATGATTTTTTTTTGTTTCCTTAATGGGCCTGACGGACTTCACGAAGAAATTTTCGAGCGAGAGCGAGGCTTTTTTTCGGATCCTTTGTCAATATGCTTAGCGGCACCTCCACTCGTCCAAATAACTCCATTCGAATTGCCATTGTTCCTGGACATTCAAACATAATATGTTTGATGTCCTCTTTTTCATAGCCGTATCTTCGGCAACATGGGCTGAGCTCTTCATTTACAAAGTTCTTATACCATCTAAAACTCCAATGATGGTCCGACGGCAGTCTATGAGAGATGACGATGATGATGATGATGATGATGATGATGATGATGATGATGATGATGATGATGATGTCTTGAACTGGTTCACACCTTATTCAGTGTCCATTGCAGAAAGTTTCTTTAAATCTCCATTTGGTCTGAAGCAATAAGTTTGATGGTCGGAATGGGAGAGTGTATTTCGTACCACTGCTATGACCTGTTTCTCTTGCAAAAGAAAACTAGTCTTTTTGTTTTGTTTAATAAGTCTCTGGTTGTCCCTCATCTTCTGCTTCAGGCAACAGTTGCAAGACGTTTCACAGATGTACCATTGCCTGCCACCTCGGAGGAACCGCCAGAGGTCAGTGGAAAAGAAAGATTTTCAAAATGGTTGTCTTCGCGTGAAAATCGATTTGATAGAACTAGAAATATTTGCTTCTGAAAACAAGGCAATTTTTAAAATGCGATAAAATAAAAACTACTGAAACTTCAAGAAGTATTATTTTGTCAACATCTTTTGGCGCCTGAGTTGCATAGGTTGAAGTTTTCATAACGCTAATTTTGCTTTCCGTGAAAAATTCATACAAAAGCCTAAACGCCGAATCGACGGGTCAGCGACCGGGCGTCCCCGCTCTCCACAGCACACTGCGATAAGGTGTTGCCAAAAACCGTGTATACCAAGATGTTCCAATAATTGCCCTATCTCGCATCCGCGCGAGACTTGGGCGCTTCCTTGTGCTGGCGCGTGACGACCCGTGATACGAGGGTAAACAAATGTTCCAGCGCTCTTGAGTTGAACGCGTGCAATTTTGTGTGCGGGCAGGGAGAGAGAGAGAGAGAGAGAGAGAGAGAGAGAGAGAGAGAGAGAGAGAGAG